TTAAACATGGATTAGAACCACATATGAAGTTTAATAAACGTGAGACCCCACCAGGTGCTAGTCAGTCAGTTTTTACACTTGGAACTGGTTTTTACACTTGGAACTGGATGGTTAAATTAGATGTTAGTCAGAAACAAGAAGAAACATTTTACATTGATAAAGCTTTTGGACAAATGAATAGAGTACTAAGTCAGTATTAAATTAGGAAATATAATCAAGAATCACCTGGAGTAGCATAGAAGCCTTCACCCGGAGAATACCTCCAAAGAAGAAAACTGTATTTGTATCACTGCTCAAGTTCTTGGATGAATTAACAGCAACTGCAATACCTTGAGCATCGTCACAGTTCAATATCGACCAGCCATCATCATTGAATCCATTAATAGTGTCATTAAACTCTCTGCACAAGAGAACATATTAGATTATGACTATCATAACCACATGCACAGTATAAGATAAATTATAATAACATATCTCAATGCATAACCGAAATATATAGGCAGGTACCCTGATTAGTCTCTGGCTAATAGTATGTAGAACAGCTGGTTGCCTACAAGACCATATACCACCTCACCATTTGTCTCTTGGGCTATTTGCCTAATACAATGCAATGCCTATTTTAAAATGGAAGGGAAATCAGGTTTCCACTATACCCAATTGGTCAAATTTTTCATGGAATTAATATGATTTTACTTAAAAATACATAACTTTTACTCCTTCAAGAACAAAATTTCAATGCCAGACTATTGCTTATATTATTATGGGAAAGAAAATCTTTTTAAGCATTGAATATTGTACGCACTTTAATTGTCATTTTCTGTGCCACTACTTTTGAAGATTCATAAAGTGGTCGTAGCACCTATACCACTCTCCAAGCATGGAAAATGTTACTCGAGATGTCAACTAAGTTTTGGACATCGACCTATTATCATGTTTTGTAATCTTGGAGCTTGGAACAGCTTCTTCAAAAGAAGATGTCAAGATTGAAATATTATAGCTTACATTCACATTGATGCTCTCAGTAAGCTCCAAAGAGAAGATGAAAAGGGTGAAGACCTTTATTGATTTCGTGAGACTCAAACGACGTGAAAACTAAATAGCACAATCACCATACATACTTGAGAAAATAAAAATGAGAAACCATCAAAAATATACTAAAACGAACACTATTGCAAAATTTAGTATGTAAACTAAGATGATGTAGATTTGGCAATATTAGACAATAATAACTATAATTTTAACTAAAAGGGAGCATCAACAATTTTAACTAAAAGCGGTTGGAACAATATGTATTAGATAAGTCCAGCACTAAAATCAGAACAAAATCATCAATCTAGTTCTTATCTATCTACAAAACCACTAAACATTTAACTCAAACCAATAAAGAAAAGCAGGTAAAAATTATCATGTACTAATCAAAAGTCCCCACGAGTTTAATCAAAAGCTTTTTATCAATGATCTTCAAATGCAAAGGAACTTAAAAATAAATAATTATGAAGATGTAAAATGACATCTGAAAGTCTGTGCTGATGAAGGTGAAAGGTGGAACTTTCCAACGGCGTTTTCTGCCTGGAGTTTTGATATTTCGAAAATGCCCTTACACCCATGAAGTACAGTCAATTATTTGCATGTTAGATATGGGAGAAAATATCACAGGTGTAAGGGGTATAAAGGTAATCTGGTGTATATCAGGTAGCTCTACTTTTCATAATCTGTGATGTGAATTGCATGCTGTGGATGCTTAAAAATAATCACAGCAGCTTTGGAGAATTAAATTGAGAGTTTATCCATCGAATCCAACGGCAGGCACGATTCCCGAAGGGCCCACAAATTCTATTTTTGAATTTTTTTTCCCCTATTTTTGACTTCATTTCCATGGAATGGGAAATGACTTTGTCTTGAAGACAAGATAGGAATCTCCATCTCCAGTTTTTTGTATATACATGGAATTTATTTGAATTTCTGATAAATATTTCAAAAATAATTGAAGCAATTAAGACCCCATAAAATTGAATATTACCTCAAATTGATTCATTTTTTGCGAGGCACTCAAAATCTTTATCAGCCAAAATGCTACTCAACTCTCTCTACAAAGAAAAAAAAATCTGCGTCAGTCAGAGAAATCATTCAAAACATTGATAGATCGATCAGTACCTATTTATTTTATTTTATATAAACTCAGGAAAAATTGAAACTTTGATAGTCTTTCACTTTCAAACGGTGCACACGAATCTAGAGATCGAACCTTTAAAACTCGACCACCAGAAGCTACAACCTTTTTCTCTCCAGAAAGAAGCCTGATTACAGAGAATCCAAGAAATTCCATAAAATTTACCTCCGAAATTGACAGCCCATCACAAAATTTCATACGGATCTGCAGGCCACTAAGTTACATCCATACAAACCACACAATATATAAAATTTGTGTTTTCCTGAATATGTTTAAATTTAAACATAGGAAACAAAAGTTAAAAGATATATAAACTCCTATGTAGACTCAAATTGGGTACTGTATTTCAGCTTCTCTCATGTTTAATTCCAAGGAAAACGCTAGAGAATAAATCATACGAACATGATAAACAAAGAGTTTGACATTAGATTTTTCCCTTATATTTGAGGTTGATAGTTATATTTGTGTTCTATGAGAAGTACGTTACCCTGGATTAGGGCATCGCCAATCGCCTTCCCTGCCACTTCCACCACCACGACCACCACCTCCGCCTCCGCCGCCGCGTCCCCCTAGATCTCCTTGGTATCCACCACCACCTCCTAAAATCATAGCAACAGATCTCGGATTAAAAGCAATTAATCACAAAAATATAATTATACAAGGCCAAACCCGAAAATTTAAATCCATATATCAAAATAAATAACCAAAGTACATAATAAAAACGAAAAAGAAGACTATCAAGTACTTGTATTACCTCCGTATCCCCCATCTCCACCTCCACCTCCTCCTCTTCCCCCGCCTCTATTACAACGTAGCCTCCTCCACCTCCATAATTACCATATCCACCGCCGCAAGTTTCAAGCCGGGCTAAGAGGCACGGTAGCTGGGGGTAGTAGGCGATGAAGGTGGGGCGGAAGAGAGGGACGCCAAATTTCTACGGCTTCGAGAGAGAGAGAACTGAAATAGGGTTTGAAATAGATCTGTGTTTTTTTCTTCTCAAAAACAAAAAAAAAATCTGTGTTTTTTATTGATCTTCTCCCTCTGTGTCCAAGTTCAACCTAAAATTACAGAAAGTTAAGGAAATAAAAGGTGATCGAAGGGTAGAATACATTTTGCCTTTCCCATAATGGTATAGTACTACCAAAGGATACTATATCAGCTATTAAACCGCTGATAAACTGAAACATGAAAAGTAGATAGCAGAAAAACAACACTCTCATATAGTTTCTGAAGAAGAAGGAAAATTGCTTGCTGTATGAAGAGCTTTCTGGGCAGCATTGTTAGATTTGCAAAGCTAGATTTTGATATAAATGAACTGGGAGTCGATGGAAGCTATAATTTGGAATGAAGCAGAAAATGATTTCTATTAAGTCTTAAGTCTGTACTGAGAATGATACATATATATACAAAAATAATGGAATCAATTCCTAACCAACTATCTGACGGATTTACACTGAGTAGTGGTGGAATGGAATGGAATATACAAAACAACTAACTAATTTGCTTCTAGACTATTCTTATGTTGCTGCTTCGTCATCAATCCATCGTGGCATTCTTCTTACTGATTATCCTCCTGATTGTCTTCCCGCTGGCTAATATGCTGAGACTTCAATAGCCCCCCGCAAGATGGAGAGTAGATGTTCATTACTCCCATCTTGGAGAAGTAAGAGTAGAAGTTTTGAGAATTCAAGGGCTTGGTAAAAATGTCTGCAGTTTGTGATGCACTGGGAACATGTTGGGTAACTATACTGCCATCTTGTATTTTATCTCGGATTAGATGGCAATCAAGCTCAATGTGCTTGGTTCTTTCATGGAAGACTGGATTTGTAGCTATGTGAATTGCAGCTTTGTTGTCACAATTTAGCAAAGCTGCCTGAGGATGTTCAATACTTAAATCCGTAAGCAAAAACTTTAGCCAAGTGAGCTCACAGCAGAGGTTTGCCATTGCCCTGTATTCTGCCTCCGCTGAAGATCGAGATACCACCTGTT